AAAAAGAAGTTTACATATTTTGGGCGACCCAGGTCACATTGTGACCTTGGGTCGCCGCAGGTTTCTAATTTTTATTTTTTTAAAAAAAAAAATCTTGCATAAAAGGATGAGGGAATGGGACACTAGTCTCATTCCCATTGGTGAATAAAAAACTTAAATAATAAGATAATAATAACTCAAATAATTGATATTATTATATAATAAAATAAAAAATAGAAAATATCAAAATTCGTATTTTTTCGTTCTCTATAAATATAGATCACTCTTGATTTATTTTGGAATACAATTAAAATTTTTCTTTTTTTCACTATTTTTTTTAATCATACCTTATTAATTTTATCTTCTTTTTTATTTTTCCTAATTTCCAACAAATACCATATGGATTCAAATTTTGAGTATTACCTCAATTCTCCAAATTTTTCAAACTCTGAAAATTTTCAGAATTTCGAAAATTATTCAGAAGAGCCATTTTCTCCGAATCTTACTCAATTACCAGTTTCCGTAAATATTAATTTTTGGAAATCATTACGATTTTATTATAGGTTTTTTAATTAACTTATCACAACTAAAAGAATACTAAAAAATTTATTGTCGATATATTTAATAAATAAATAAATAAAAATAAAATAAACATTATGTTGTGTTGGGTTAGGTTGAGTTGGAGATAAAGATATGTAAGTTGTTAAAAGTTGGGTTGTGTAGGTGGAAGAAAGAGAAATAATTTTTAATTACTGGGTTGGGTTGTGTTGAGTTGCGGATAAATATAGTCTAAGTTACTTATTAGTTAGTTTGAATATTTAAATGTTTAAAATTTTTTAAATATCTATCTAATAAAGTATTTATATATAAGTTTCATATTATGAAATATTATATATTTAAAAGTATGAATAAATTAAATAACGGTCCAACCAATGAACCGAGTAACTGTTAGATGACTTTATATAACCTTGAAATATCCATGTTGATTTAAATATTTAAGAAAGTATTTTCGGACCTAAAAATAATAATTCAAACGTGAATTGTAACCATTAATTAAATCATCATCATCATCACCTCTAT